TTGTTGGGGTCGAAAAAAATTATGTATGCATTAGGGTTTCTATGAATTTTGTGTTGCATGGCTTCTTTGGACACTTTGTCATGTGGGTTACTCTATGTCTGTCCATCCTCTGTTGTTTATGTTTTTCCTTAATATTGAGTGGCAGGATGCAGATGAAGTCCTTTGCCGTGCGCCCATGTAGCCCTCCGTAAGTTAACGCCGTTGTCTCGCATTCACTGGGGTGGCCGGGTGGGAGTCGCTGCCCTCTTGCCACATCTGACGAAGAGCTCCAATGATCTGGTGAGTAGGCTTGCTTTTATCTCCTATACTAACGCCTTCGATTTGACATTAAGTTTCTAGACTTTATGTTAGTCAAGATAATACATTAGTGTAGTTTGCTGGATTATCAATGTCATTGTTAGAATCAGGTAATAACCAAGTAAGGGGGAAACTTTTCTCGGGTAGGAAGCCCCTGCAAATGAATACAATAATATTTTGAAAAGGGTAACTAATTATTAAGGACAAAAAAGATGTCTTCTTTACCATACTACATGAGTTTTTTTAACTGAATACTACATGAGTTTGACTTTTGACAGAGAAAGCCCATCTTCTTCGAGTACACTGACATGATCCACTTTTGTTTGGAGAGTACAAGGTGAGTATGCTATTGGTTGGAGAGTAATAGTTGAATAGATCATTTTAGTTTTCAAATATGGTTATGTCGAGAAATACTGCTTGATGCGACTAAATCATTTTAGCTATATCACGGGTCAACAAAAATTTGTGGATGCAGAGAATTTCTATGCATTTTTGTTGCATGGCTTCTTTGGCACTTTGTCATGTTGCAAGGCCTAACTATTTCGTTCTTTGCCGTGGTTTTGTTAACATGCATTCAAATCATTTTCACGAGATTTGACTACGAGATCCTGACTTTGTTGGTTGGCCGTTGTAGATTACTTTGATGGGTTGAGTAGCTCTTTGTACGGCACTTCTGCAGCATGTTCCTTGTTAGTGGTGGCTTTCTTGCCAGCTGTGGCTGCAATTTTGCAGCTAAGATCATAAAATAGAAGTAAAATATGTTTGCCAATTGGATCAGGAAGAGTTTTCAGGATGTTACCACTCACCACAATCACTGGATGTTACCACTCCTGCCATTACATATTGGTAGGGCATCGCCGTACCAACACGAAGTGGAAGATGAATAAAATAATATGAATGATAGATCAATATTTCCCTTTGTATGAGATGAATTTCTTGTAATACCATCTTCTCTAACTTTACTGAAATATAATATAGGAAAGCTGCATTGAGAGTGCTGCCTTTTTATTGGGTATTGGCTTATAGATTTTTTTACTGGTTATGGTATAGAAGAGATGAGTATATATTTCAATGGTTTAAGGTGTTTTCTTAAGGTGATTGATGGCCCCCTTATAGTGACTGTTAAAGAAAAGCTGAGAAATCTGGTGAAATGCTGCAATCACATAAAGAAATAACACTCATAGGCTAATATGCATGATTAAGCTTAAAATTACTGTGATATTATTTTGTTCCCGTTGCAACGCACGGATATGATCCTAGTTTTACAATACATTAATAAGTATCACTTGATTAATTATGAAATATATTTCTTTATGATAAACCTATTTGAACTTAGCCAAATATATGGTTTTTTAACTCCTTATTAGAAACAAGATTTCCAATATTTTAGAACGGAATGAGTACTCATTAACGGTACTTGTTTAGTAAAAACCGGTACTTGTCAAATAATTATGCTACAGTTTTCACGAGGATATAATGTCGGCTATATTTGCAAATAGTGTTGTCGTGTTGAGCGCAAGCATTGGTGCATGTGGTGCAGATTTATCATGATGCTATTTATTATTATTAATTAAAATGGTAAAGTAATAATAAGAAAAAGTGTATGATTTCTTTTTATTAAAATGTAAACTATATTAATTTTTTTAATGAGGGTGCTCCCATGGATCCAAACGTTCGTGCACACCATCTACCAATACGGAATTATCTGTTATCAAAAAGAAATACGGAATTATCGTGCTACTATTAAAATGATACAATACTCCGTAAGTAAGAAAAGAGAGCACATGCTTTTTTTTAGCCAAGGACTATGGCCGTACGTGGAATTTGAATGGTGGTACTAGAAACATCTATTGGTGGAGTGTCGCAGGATTCAAACGATTGTTCCTGCACGCCACCAGTGACACGGATTTACTATCTCTGAGGCTGAGCTTATTAAATTTAATAAACTGATGATAAAGTTAAAGAAAAAGTCTACTCACGGTATAATTAACTATATATATATATATATATATATATATCAACGTATCCGGTGCAAACCAATCAATCCGTGCAAACTTGAAAACTACCGATCAGGACTACTAGATGCTGATCTAATGGATGGGGTGAGAGGTGGAATTTTTTTGCGCTTAAGCCCCTCACCCGCCGGCCTTTTTTTTGCGCTTAAGCCCCCTCACCCCATCCATTAGATCAGCATCTAGTGATCCTAATGGGTAGTTTTCAAATTTACACATGTTGATTTGTTTGCACCCGATATATATATGGGAAATTATTTCCTATTCCTAGAGAGTAGTTACTCTCATATATATATCTCTATATTTAGGGCGTATATGGCCCGACGAAGTGTATATAAACGGAGTATATGTTCATACTAAACCATCTAGGATAGTATGTATGTCAAGTATGCAAATATACGTAGAGTATATGGTTATACTTATTTTATATTGTACTGCAGTGTTATTTTAGTAATATATTAAAAAATATGGGCTCTTTTAAAAAAAATTCGCGTACTAAGATTTGAAGTATCTTAAATTGAGTATATAAACATACTCAAACTGATAAATTAGTATGCACATATACGTAATGTGGTTTATTGAAAATGGGAGTAACTAGTCTCGGTAGCCGCTCCTTGTTTGTGTTGTATCTGCATGTGCTTCAGCTTCCTCGTCGCTTTGGTTTGTCCACCTCAGGTGTTGGTGTCGTCGCAGTCGTCTTCTTCTTCGCAGCGGCTACCTAGTCGCTGACGGATACGTCGTCCTCTTCGCAGCGGCTATTTGGTCGCTGGTGGTCTTCTTCGCAACGACTGCCTGGTCGCTGGCGGACTTTTTCGCAGCGGCTACCTAGTCGCTGGTGGACTTTGTCGTCTTCCTCTTCGCAGCGGCTACCTAGTCGCTTGCAGGTAAATGCTGAGCTTTTTACCGGTGGATGCTTTGCCACCACGATTTCACCCACCCTCTGTTGGTGACCATCGCGCGGATGCATCTTTCTTTGGCTGGCATAGTTGGTTGGTGTTTTGTGGTGGAGGTTCCCCCTCCGCGTGTATTTTTCTGTTCGTTTGTGTCTTTGGGATTCCGCTGGTAATCCTTGGATTACTTGCGAGTCCTTTGTATTCGTGTCCCGACTTTTTTTTGGCCTTTCCTCTTAATAAAAAACGGGTAAAGACCCGATCACGAAAAAATATAATATCTATACCTATATCTCATATATTTTCAATCTCAACAAGTATTCTATCTCGCCATTTATACTGTCCATACCAGCATCCACTAGCATATTTCATTAGCACGTACAATTATGTCTTCATTCAAGCTATTCACATTACAAAGCCATATTATTCATTAACATATATTTCATTGCCCATATCAAAATACTAAATCATCCACCAACATGTATTATAATATTTATTCATTTCCCTATAAGTAAACGCAGTATAGTTTATCTGCGACTCTCGCACCAAGTAAAAAAACAAGTCTACCAAATGGTAATTTAATAATTAAACAAAGAAACAAGGGAGAGTAAAAAAATATACAAATTGGCTAGAAATTTGTGGCTGCGATGCATCCAGGTCCACGCGCCCACGTTGATGCAGGTCACCCATGGTGGGCCCCACCACCCAGCCTCCTCCCCTCCAACCCTGCTCTCAAATTTGAGGCCCAAACCCCCGTCGGCCCCATCGACACGCCGCCGGCCACGCCCCGACGACCCCGCCACACCCACTCCGCCGCTGCCTCCCGCTCCGTCCGCGCGCCCGCCGCCCTCGTCCGGCCAGGCGCGGGTGGAGATCCGCCCGGGTCCGAGCCCGCTCGCTCCTCCTCTCGTCGGTGAGTGTTCGTTCCGCACCCCCGACCCTCTCCGCCTCCCCCTGTGCTCTCTCTGTGTAGGTTCCCTGCGCTTTTGCCCGTTCAATCCGGAGAATTCGCTCTCCCCGTCCACTTCGCCGTGCGTTTGTTCCCTGCCGCCGCACCTGCGCAATCCAATTCCGCCATAATTCGAGTCGGCTCCTCCAATTCGCCGCGCGAGACCAATCCCGCCGAGGTGCGCGGCGGCGCGGTTTGCCTTCCGGAAATTTTAGGGATTCCATTCAACCCTGTGTCCCTGGCGTCCTTCCGTTTGGGAATTCTTGTGGTAGGTCGCTCCTGTGCATCTATTGGGGGGCTGTTTGGAAGTTGGGATGCACGGATTCCACGTACAGAACAGACAGTTCAAATTCGTACAGTAACCGAGGGGAATTCACTCAGTGCGAACCGGCCGTGAATTTCGTACATAGCCGTGGATTATTACGCCTGCCGAGTGGGCAGTGGCAGGAAGTTGTAGAGTGTGTGACTTGTTGCTGTTTGCATAATTAGCCGCTAGCTTAGGTTCCCCAGCCAGCCTTTGGTTGTGCACACGCACTTCGCTTGTAGTATTTCTCGCCTACACCCATTTGAATTATTCCCCATTCAATTTCCTGCTGTAATGAGGTTGAATCTCGGCTTTGTTGTGGAAAAACAACTTCTGTGGTCTCTGAGATTCCTCACACTTAGGTTTACAATTTTCTTGGTGTACTTCATCCATGGGTTGCTGCTAATGAGCTTTGTGCTTGGGTTCAGGAAAGTTTATGTGTGGCTTCATCCACAAAGAGCTGAAGATATCGCATGAGTAGTCACTGTTAGTGTGGCTTTGCTCCGTGCTTGGTCCTGTTTGTGCTTTGCCTTGCAAAGGAAGGAATCATGACCTCTGTTGTTCAGAGTGTTTCAGGTATGCTTGATTCATCCAAACCTTTTCTGTGCTGCGAATTACTGTAGAGAATATTTCGTTATGTATGTGTTGCAAGCACAGATTGTACAAGCAGTCAGTTGCATTTCGCGCCACCAATTTTGTGCTTTGATTAAGCCCTTCCATTGTATGTATGTGGCTGAAAGAAAAGTGATTTGTGCTGGCAGCTCAGACTGTTGGGCTCAAAGCAGAGTTTAATGCATGCTCACTGCTTTGGATTTTGAAAATAACATAAAAAGTTTCTTTGAATAAACCAGGATGTCTTATGTAGTTTTGTATCTAATGTTCTCATGTGCATACATGGCATTATATGTTATAGTAGTTACACCCTGCTGCTACCAAATAGATTTATAGCTGGTGGAAATTTTGAGTGCTCTATGTCATTTAGATTAATTTTTACTGTATAAAATGTTATATTGTGACTTTTGTTACTTGTTGGTTTATGAACAGTGGTGGCATGCATTAATGTTTATTTGTTTTTCTTTAACACATGTGAGTGTGACTTTTTGAGGACATCTAAGTCAATCTTGATCATTCATGTCCCTTCATGGGCAGGTGACCACAGGGCTGAGGATCAACATCATCAGAAGAAGCAAGCTGAACCTGGGGACCAACAAGAAGCCCCAGTTACTAGTTCAGATAGCCAACCAACAGTGGGCACACCATCAACAGATTATGTGGCACCCTATGCCCCTCATGACATGAGCCATGCAATGGTACCACACTTGTAACTTTCACTCTTTACTTATCGATAAATATGGTTCTTTTCATTTGAGTTATGTCTAGGAAAAGGTGGAGGTTTGGTCGTAGTGTGATGTCTAAGTGATAGCATATGTGGTGTCAAATCTCCTTCCCTGCTTCAAACTCTACTTCAAAAGTAATAATAACAGAACATATTCATACCAAAACTATAAAGTGACAAGTACAGTTATACACCATTTCCCTGTTGGCTGAAGTGAAAAAAAAACATTCCCCTTTTAATCCAGATTCCAGACCATTTGTTGCTAACCAGGGAAGTTATGTGTCATCTCAAAATTTCTGCCATTTCCATCCCTTTGTCACTAAATGGTTGACTATCATCACATTCAAATTAAAATAGCAAAGCTTCTTCATTGAAACTTTGCACACTGGTTGGTAACAATAGTCCATTTTTTTTTCTGAAATGCATATTATTTTCCAACTTTATTAGTCTAAATTGTTACACCTCACATGTGTTTTGCTCGTACTTTTTTGTTGTGATGAATGTTCACTAATTATTTTTAAGCTAACAAGCTTCTAGTTTCAGCATTCTTTTAGACCTTCACTGGAGTGATTGTTGCAGTATTCTATTTTATTTTTGTCCTTTCAGTTTCCTCTTCTACAATTTTCCATCAAGGTTCATTAATTTCGAGTATGGTGCAATCTATGTTTTCTAATTTCATATTTTGTGTCTGGCAGGGTCAATATGCTTATCCAAATATTGACCCATACTATGGAAGCCTTTATGCGGCTTACGGTGGACAGCCATTGGTAAGCTTTTATGCACTCTCTCCATTAGCAAATACAAGTATTGTAATCTAGTTAAATTTTCCCCAAATACTAGATTGTTTCCACATTGTGGAACATTTATGATTTACCTAATTTGGGAAATGATTGAAGAGCACCGAGTTCATTTAATTTGACTCCTTTTGTATGCCCAAACCTCAAACCAACCCTGGTTTCAGTCAGAGGCAGTACAAAGTATAAAAGGTAAACATACTTGTGTGTCTTGAGAGGGTAGGCCAATTTTGCTAGTATTGTTTATTTGAATTTACAGACAGTTAGAAAAGGATATTTTGCATGACCATGGACCTTCCTGTGCTATTAGGATTCTGTATTTAAACTGATGTCTTGGAGTTAATAAATATGATAATATTTCAGATGCATCCACCGTTAGTCGGAATGCATCCGGCTGGCTTACCTTTGCCTACCGATGCAATTGAAGAGCCTGTGTATGTAAATGCAAAGCAATACAATGCCATATTAAGACGGCGTCAATCTCGGGCTAAAGCTGAATCAGAACGGAAGCTTGTCAAGGGCCGTAAGGTAAATCTTTGTAACCATATTCTGCATTGCCATATGAATTGGAATTTTTAATTAGCTTTTTCTGCCCATGATGCTAGAGCAAATGATCAAGCAAATTTCTCCAATCTACCTTCCCTACTTCCACTTCAAGATCGATCTGCCTCACATTGTACTATAAATCTTCTGGTGAATGTTATTTTAATTTCAATCTTGCCTGATATCTGAAATTTTAACATAGCACGTTTTTTAATGCCTTCACGGGTGTTGCTTATCACAAAGGATTTAGGAATGTAAATTGGGTGCCATACATTGACAAAGTTGCAACATTGAGTAAACTGAAATGCTTTCTAATTTTTATCTGTAAGTTACTTTTGGCTAGAGAGAGTTGAATTTGTTAGTATCATGATGATTATTTCTCAAAACTGGAAGACTGATATAAAGATGTGGTTACCAACTCAGAAAATCCTATAAAGTTCTGCCAAGCTCAGATGATCTCACTGCAAGTTGATCACACATGTTTATTACTCTTTGATATCATCTAAAATAAAAACAACTTGATTGCTTATTTCCTTTATCTTTCTGTGGGTGAAATGTTAAGTCATCTGAAATAAAAACCCTGATTCGATTACATCTTTGCTGTGCAGCCCTATCTCCATGAGTCACGGCATCAGCATGCCTTGAAAAGGGCCAGGGGAGCTGGAGGTCGGTTTCTCAATTTAAAGTCAGATGACAAGGAAGAGAACTCTGACTCGAGTCACAAAGAGAAACAGAATGGAGTTGCACCCAACAAGAGTGGCCAACCGTCAACCCCTCCGTCTCCCAACGGTGCATCATCAGCTAACCAGGCAGACAGTCGTGAATGATGATTCAGAACTCACAACCGAAGAGATTTTAGCCCCTGGCGCTAGATATGGCAACAGTTTTGTACAGTAAGTGCTAGCGGGCAGCAGCAATATGGTGTCAGTCGGTTGTTGTAGGATATGTTCCATAGAAAAACATAGACGAGTCAGACAGGTTTTGGAGTCTTGGTTTGGTCATCTGTTTATTCACCTTTCTGTACAATTTTAGTAGCATTGTGTCTTCCCCTGGATAGCTTCGGTCAGCGATTCAGAAAGTTAAGTGTGTAGCATATTGGCTTATTGTTTGCTTTGCTTGGACTTGGAGATTTGGGAGTGGAGTTCATAACCCTACTGTCCTGCATCACTATTCGTGGGGCAAACAATAATACTCCTAGCTGGCTATGTGTATGTTGATGACAATAAACGTTAATGTAGGACATGTGACCATCTCATCTGAATCTAGCTTTGTTTCCTCTGCTTCAAAATGATACCCTCACAATTGGTCAGAGATCATTTCGTACTTGTCCTCCCACAATGCATGTTTTGGTTTGTCTTTGGATTGGCCTCCTGGCATGTATGATGTTTTCGGTCATCTGTTGTCCATTGAATTGCGTGATGATTGCCAGATGCTATGAGCATGTTCTGAAGAACATTTGGGTTTGGTAACTGCATCAATCTGTCATTGGCCATCAAATGAACATTTTGCATGCTTTTCTCGAGGGCATTGAAATATTGCCAACGATTACCAAGAAGAGTGTACTTTATCGAGTGTTGCAGAATGTGCTTTCTCGAGAACTCCAAAGCGTATTTTGCACCCTTTCTTACACGAGCGTATCTTACTTTTTTGCTGGGAAAGACCAGAAAGAAAACAATAAGAAAAAAAATGCATAACCGCATAATGTCCCTGCATCTGTTAGACCTGAACTTGGAACTTTCTTCATTGATCAGTGACTCTGAACGACCAGCATCTCTGCAGTCTGCACAGGCAGGCAGCATTGGGCATTCAGGAAACTGCTTTTTTGAAGAAAGATCTTTGCTCGGTTCTGCACAGATATAGCACCTGTCTAGCGAAAAAATCGTACCCAAAACATCTTTGGTCCTTTTTTTTTGTTGCAATCCTCTGGTTGGTAAACAACCTGAAAATGGATGAAAAAAAAATATTTTTGAAAACTGGATCTCCAGCATAGTGTTCTCGAAGAACCTGAACCAAGCATGCTGCATACATTCTCTTCGTCAATCTATGCTTCAAAAGGTGTAACCTCTCTGAAACTAATCATTAGAGCTATAATTTCTTTAAACGAGTCTCTATTATATGGTTTCAGAAAACTACACCTCTGAGCATTTGAGCAGGTTCAATTTGAGTTCAATTGCAAGAGATGAAACTGTTCATGGATGGTTCTGAAGTTTCAGTGCCATAAATTCAGAAAAATTCTGGCACAATGTATCTGAGACTTTGAATTGAATACTTACTTATTCAGATTCAGGCATAGATGGTCCAGGTGATTATCTTAGACAACAAGCATTAATCATATCAGGCCCTTAACAAAAGCCACGCCCGGCATCGTACCGTACTTGTAGCTTAAACCACAAGCTACTACTATACTAAATAACAAAGGTATAATGTCATGATGCATAGGAACTGATTGATCCATCTCTGCCTTAAGATCTGAATAAGAAATAGTTAGTTTCAGTTAGCGCTTCAGAAGTTAACTGTGTAGCATATATGGCCCCGTTGTTTGCTATTCTTGGAGGCTTAAGAGTGGTTTTCATAACCTGCTGTCCTGTGTCATCATTTGCGGGTGCGAAGGATAATCGGGCTATGTGTATGTCGATGACGATAAACCCTAATGTAGGACATGTGACCACCTCATCTGAATCTAGCATTGCTTCCTCTGCATACATTCAACCATCCACTGCAAAATGATACCCTCACAGTTGCTTGGACTTGGAGATCATTCAGAGCTCTTTTTTGCACTTGTCCTGCAATGCATATGTTTGGGTTTGTCTTTTCATTGGCTTCCTGACATTTATGATGTTGCGTTTATCTGTTGTCCATTGAATTGCATGATGATTGCCAGATGCTATGAGTATGACCTAAAGAACATTTTGGGCTTGCCAACTGAATCATGTTGAGCATCGGCCATCACATGAACGCCGAGAATGCTTTTTCTCGAGAGCATTGAAATACTGTTAACGATTACCAAGAAGATCGAGTGTGCTAGTGTTGCAGAATCTCCACCCTCTGTACTGTACTTGAAAAGCTGAAAGTCAACTGCATCCTGCTTTGACATACATCGCTGCAATTTTTCTTTTTTGACGCTGCATTTAACAATGTTGATGTTCTCAAAGTCACAAATATGGGTGCACACACACTCCTGACAATGTTTCAAAAGCTTTCTCCCAAAATTGTTCATATAATCCTGATGTGTTTTCTTTTAATTGTTTCCTGTTACTACTTTCTTACATCGTCAACATCCAATTACATTTACATCTAAATTCCATTTCAGAGTTCAAGTCAGGGACGTGGGTGACACGATAATATAGGTTAAGGAAGATACTTTACTCGTATATAAAATAGTATCCAAGTCACAGTTTTGTAGACCGCGCACATGAATGCCTGTGATACCATTTGGAATATAGATTTGAACTAATCATCAATTTGGAATATAGATTGAACTAATCATGGACTAGTATATATTGCAAGTACCAACGCATCCTCAATGGTGCACATATAGGTTGAATGTACCAACATCAAAATCTGAGTAATTTCCAGAAGCGCAACTTCTTGATGATCAGGCAAAAGAGGATCAAATGAGATCTTCAGTTCTCCACAAGACGAGAGAAATTTACGGTACAATCAAGCAGCACTGGGAATGTGCCAGACAGTTCAAAAGATAGCTACAAACTCTCTTATTCCTAAGTTATAGTCCTCCAATTTAGATGGCACGTGGTTTTAACATTCTTAGCACTGACCACGTTGCAGAGTTTAAATTCATTCAATATCAAATCCCTTCTCCTGGAGCTCCTGTACAACCTCATTCCTCATCCGAAGCCATAGTTTCTGTGCTTCCTGCTCAAACTTTTTAGACTGCAACTGCTTCTGCATGTTTTCAGAATCCATATTGGCATCAGCGAAACCCTTGGGTCCAATTGTGGTTCCAAGAGCACCTCCACTCTTTATGAACTCCTCAATTGCCTCCTCATCACCAGGGTACGGGAACTTCCTGCGCTCATAAAGGTGTGCCATTTCTTTTTCTTCCTGCAAGATGTTGGGAATAGATTGTCTTATCAGGGAGACCAGAAACTAGCGGGCTTAAATCGACAAGCATTCACACTGATCATCTATGGCCACTAAGACTAAGATGATGCAATGCAGCAAATGAGAGATTTATCATATACTTTCTGTCCATTTTGAAAGCCAAGAAAACTTAACAGCAAAGTTATTTATGGCACTGTATAAAGACAACATGTTTTCAAGCATAGCCTACATCCAAAAATTATTCACAACAGAGGAATACCCTATTGTAAACATTTGAGATGCATCCTTGTCAGCACAATGGAAAGCAGTTACCAACAGATGAGAGCAAATTTAAGTTCCACACTTAGGAAACCTGTAGTGGGAGCATATCCCATATTTGAATGATCCATATTAACCATGCAATGCAAAGAGGTCCGAATCTGGTTTGAATTTTATATGTGTAGGCTTGCCATGAATAGCCTTGCCAAAATCAGTACTGGCGCTTCAAAGGTTGATTTCTACAATGTGGTTCCACATTCAAGGTGTCACAAGAATATAAGGGAAACTAGAAGTCAAAGCAGGAATAATATGGAAAGGCTGGAAGTATTAAAAGTGTAGCCATTTCGATATCATAGTCATAATGTAGGTCCGATGCTCTAAGATAGCAAGGGCTGGCGTTACTGTACAAAGTTTCACCTTTATTTGCACCTGAGAAGAAAAGTTCATCTCAGGATCAATACTAGCAATGAGGCAAGGCAACGCGTTTTCAGCTTTGACACCGCCAATTTCTACTTCTGGAGTCAGAAGAGGGCCATAAAACTCAGGGTATAAGCTAATTTGAGGATAGATTTTCAATCATGTAGCCCTAAAATATTCAAATTCCAAGGGGGGAGGAAGTTTAAAATCTAATCTAAACCAACAAAGAGGATTGCAGGTGACAACTGCAGAACCTTTCGACAAAATAGGGAATTTCCGCACTATTACAGCACAGCCCAACGAACGAACGAACGAGAGAAGACGAGACGGGAGGAAGTGGAGGAGGAACCTTGGGGCGCGGCTTGAGCGTCCACCACCCGAGCGGGGACGTCTCGTTCCAGAGCCAGGCGACGCCAAAGAGCGTGTAGGTGCAGAGCGTGGCCTTGCCCATCTGCTTCCAGAAGTAGGCGTCCTCCTTCTCGAACCCCATCCGCCTGCGCCCAACCACCAATCATCACAATCAGAAACCGTCGTAGGCAAGGGCGGGTGCGAGGCCGAGGGAAAGCAGATGGGCACGCCGAGGTACCGGCGGGGCTGGGGCCGGGGGCGGGGGCGCGGACCTGAGCAGCCTCCGGGCCTGCGGGAAGTTGCGCAGCATCGCGTGGGTCGTGTCGGGCTCTTGGTGGTGGATCAGACGCCGCGGAGCGGACGGAGGAGGCGGCGGCGGCGGTGGTCTGCCTGCGCAGCCGGATGCCGGAATCGCGAACCCGGCAGGCGGCAGGGGAGGTCTTGGCTGAACAGAATGGACGGTCGGGATGAGCCCTGATGCGCTGTTGTCTTGTTTCTGCACAAAGGCCGATTACCGTACTCGTCGCAGCTCGTATAGATGCTGGTTCGGTGTGAGAAAAAAATAGAAAAATATTGTTTATTGACTGATAAATTATGATTTATAAGTTAAATACGAGTAAACGAACTAGATATGTGAACTGGCTGAATGTGTCCTCCTTCTCTGCCTCCAGATTATCTGAAAAGAAAAGAAAAGAAACAGCAGGCATTTTTGCTTTGTGTTGTGGAGCTGGGCCTCACTGCTGGCTTGGCTGCATACATACTGACGACTCTCACGCAGATTTGATGTCATCATCGGTGCATGTAATGCGATGCGATGCAAGACCGAGTGAAGATGATATGAATCTCCAAGATGCATGCATACATACGCAATGCAATGGCGATTGATTCATGGATGGGCAGGCAGAGATGGAGGCAGGCGCTTCTTCGTTCTCTGAATCTCAAGAGCAGGCTGTCCGTTTCTGAATTCTCTTGGATCCGTCCTCCGTGCTGGGTAGCTGCTTCAGTTCAGCGTTGAGATGAGATGGACGGAGGCAGGCACGCAGGCAAACAGACATCTTAAAAAGCGAAGTGTGATATAAAAAAGAGGAGACAGGTAGAGCTCCCCGATTGAGGAACACTGACATGCTTTGCTTGCACTACAAAACCAGGGTCCATGACTGATGATGCACCATGCTCCATGCGCCACTCCAATCCATTTGTTTTGTGTTTTTTTTACCATGCAATTGCTGTGAATAGTGACATGATCCCCTGTGGTCATGCCATTGCCATGGCAAGGCAAGCAGGGCGCGTGCGCGTGCACGCGCGCACACACACAGTGGCTCCGTTCGCTTCGCTAAAAAAACAAGTCGAAACACTGTTCCGGCTGATTTGTTGTGAGAGAAAAATACTGTTTCGGCTGAAAAAACAAGCTAAAAAAGACGAATTATAAGAAAAGCGAACAGGACCATGAGAGACTGTGAGCTTTTAGCTTGGCACATTGACCTCTCCCTCTCTCAAGATCCATCATGGCCCATTCATTCGTTTTGTTGTTACACTTGCTAGTTGCTTGCTTGCATGGGAGAAGCTATCACTTTGAGCCTTCCTTCCATGTTCTGGATATTAACTGAAAACAATGGCTAATGGCATCTTATAGTGTACAGTTAGTTTATGTACTATTATTATGGAGATTACATGAAGTAGGAGGTATGTATGTTGTACGTGTACTCAAGTACTACTAGCTATGTATGCATCATCTGCAAGTACAGACAAACACTAACAAAGCCTGAATCTACATCTCACCCAAGCCATGTCAATCTTTACAGGATTGGAGATGCCAAAGACTAGTACCATTCTCTAGTGTTCTTGTGGCGGCTTTGGTTCTTTTTTTGTTTGTTTTTTTCTGCTACTACTGCTTGATACTACTCATTGCAAGCGTATACTCCCTCCGGCCCTAAACGTCTGTCGTTTTCGCTTTTCGAGAAACAACTTTGACTAAATATATATTAAAAATATTAATATTTATGATACATAATTAGTATTATTGGATAAATATTTAAATCTATTTTTTTAATAAATTTATTTAAAGATAAAAATGTTGCATGTATTTTCTATAAATCGAGTCAAAGTTATCGGCATGTAAATCTTAACGACTAACATTAAGGGAGGAGTACTGTCATACACAAAGTGATATGACATACATCCCACTATGTCTAGTCTAGTACTGGAGGCAGCAGCACGATGATTGACTCAGCTGACAATTGACAAAGAAAATGCCCGCAAGAATACATGGGCGGCTATGAGGCTCATGATCGAAAAGAAAAGCACAAAATAAAGGAGATACTGCCATGCATGCTTGCTTGCTGTGGATACATGTCAACCTTAGACAAAACTAAAAATTGCCATCAAAGAGTGTAGAAAGTGGCATGGTGCTTTTGTTCAATTCCTCTCTCTCTCACACACACACACACACACACTGATAAAAGCAGACACTGACAATCTTGGAAGTGAAGGGAGATGGATGGGCAGCACTCTGAAATGTCACCATAGAGAGAAAAACAAAAAGGAGTGAAAGGGAGAGAGAGAGAGAGAGAGAGGGAGAAGGGTGGAAAAGATTTTATTGGAAAGTGATGGTTGGTGGCCCCTATCTTCATGCCAAGAAAGTGGCTTCCAGGACCAACACGCAGGGGTGGGTTGTTCTAGGGGTTTTAGGGGTTAAGGCTGAATGAGTGAATGTGATTGTCTTCTGTACACCACTACACTAACCAACCAGATGAGATATTCCATGACCAACAAAATGCTGAAATGTGGTGCCCAAGCTGCATGATCTTGAAAGGCTGTTTTTGTTTGTAATGACCCTTTACACGCGGGCGGCCAAAAGTCTCTCTTTTCTGTTGGCACTACTGACCACCCTCCCTCAAACAAAAACTGGCCATCAGAAAGTAGCAACTCATGAGCTCACCTTGTTCGGCTGGTAGCCGGCTAAAACTGATTTGTTGTGAGAGAAAAATATTGTAGATTCTAACTGATAAGCCAGTTGATAAGTTCAAGCGAACAAGCCTGGGATGGGATGTCTGAACTGAACGTGGCTTGGCTGCAAGCAAACAAGTGAACAACCTATTTTGGGTGGTAAAGCAGTTGAGCTGAACCCTCAATGGCCTGCATCACTGCATCTCTTCATCATCATGAACACGGTTTAGGCTGTGTTTAGTTCGCGAAATTTGGGAATTTGGCTACTGTAGCATTTTCGTTTTTATTTAGCAATTAGTGTTCAATCATGGACTAATTAGGCTCAAAACGTTCGTCTCGCGATTTCCAACCAAATTGTGCAATTAGTTTTTTTTCGTCTACATTTAATGCTCCATGCACGTATCGCAAGATTCGATGTGATGTCTACTGTAGCACTTTTTGGGAAACTTTTTGCGAACTAAACATGACCTTAGTGAACTAGTGTAACCCTGAACTCTACTCCAAATCACATGTGATTGGCCAGGTCAGCACTTATATAAACAAGTGTATAGTGTAAACAAGCAACGCATTCATCTCCAAGCACAGTGCTCTGTGTATGCAGCGCAGCGTGCAACAGTGGCAGCCAATTGAATGCGCCTTGTCTGTCGGTCTCAGCCATAGACAGAGAGCTCGAACGAACTCGCCATTTCTTCCCTAAAAAAAAACTTGCCATTTCAAACCCAACGCAGACGCAGGGCTGACCGCTGAGAGCTGCTCCTTCTCCATCTGACCGTCCACCATGAGCACCTCCATTGACCTACGCCAGGTGCTTCAATGAAGGGCAGGGCCATTGCATCCACCAGCTTCCACCTGCCCGCCTGACCTGCCGTTCTGAATTGAAGCAGCAGGGGACAGGGGGCTAGCTGTTTCGGCCTGCATGCGTCCCTCTCTGAAATCTGAAGTGCATGCAAGTGCAAGTGCAAGCTTTGCTGTGGATACGCAAGTGCAAGCAGACACTGATGCGAGGCAAGGACAAATCTTGGCCTGTAGATACGTTTGGGGGCCGATTTGAATGCGCACCACCTCTTGCAGCTAGTGTAGCTTGTATGGGAATTGATTGAAAGCTGCAAATTATGGGTAGTTGGGTTTGGAAACCTGAAGATCTTGAGGAAGGGCAATTTCCTTTCCTTGTGGCTGTTCATCTCATCAGATCCTTGCTGCTGGTGAAATAAAGGATAGATCTTGCAAATTAAGCACTCCTAGCACAAGTGTTTGAAGCTTTACTGGTGGATAGATATGGCACGGAGGTGATGCCTGATGGACAGTTGCAACTGCATATATACACCATAAACTCCTTGTCTGGGCAGAAATAGCACGACGTTTTCAGATCCGAATTGGATGTGTCTCAGTTTTTGCATGCATGCATATGGCAAGAAACTGTTGCCAAAATGGGAGCACCAATTCATTATCTTTGAGATTGTCCGTGTACAAGATCAGTAGCATGCATCTTGCACGTTTCATTTCATCCACACAGGGCACAGCTAGGTCCAGAGCTCTAAAAAAGAAACACTGCTCAAAATCCAATATATATCATGCAAAGAATCAGTACTGCTTTCTTTCTTCTTCTTTTTTTGAAAACTAATCAGTACTTTCAGAGTAAAGATTTTCCAATATTAGGACGGATGGATGACATATCCTTTTCAACCACGTGCAAAAAATATATATTTTTTAGTTCCCGCGCATTTCGTCGCCGAAATCTTGTTCCTTTTCTACCTGAATGAGGCACATTTGAGTCGACGACAGTGAAGTAAAGCCTGCAAATGTGGAGCTAGTGGCATCCCTTTGGAACGGATGCATGGCAGCCGCATCACCAAGCAAAGACCAGCACATTAAAAAAAGAAAGGAAAAGAAAGGGGAGATGCTAACCTTCCATTACTTGATTATTAATTTAATTGACAGATGTGGTTTAATTTATCTTGAGCTGATGGCCTGATGCACGCACGCACGCGTTGCCTCCTGCTGCCCCGAACGCGAGGGCAGCATCAGGCACGCAGGCAGAGGCAGTGCGGCTCTATCACAGGCACAGCACAGTGTCAGTGCGATGAGAGCAAGTATAATAGAAGGATGTAAGCTGCTTAAATACCGGAGGAGAGAGGAGAAGCGGGTTGTAAGCTTATAGCTGGTTTAGGCACAAGAACCTAGAAATTCTGTGAGAGAGATAAGTGGACCATATATTAATAACGAAGAGCTAATTACTATATGAGTGGGCTAATAAAAGGCTGCAAAGAAATCTTACAGCTAGCCGCTGGCTGTATATTAGGCTTGCTCTCGTAAAACTATTATGATAAGAATATGATTATCCCTACCAGCAGTGGCAGCCACCCC